GTAAATCCATGCTCCTCTTCTCTTCTCTCCTCACACACACATAACTGTTGGTGATTTCCACAGGTCTCTCCACTAGGCATGCAGTCTCTCTCACGTTTAAACTGGCTGCGCGAGATTTCACTTATCACGTGATAATTATGACTGACAGGATTACGTCGCAGAGCGTCAGTGACAAATCTTGTAAATACAGCACTGCTGCTGAAATTTAAAGTAAAAAAGCGAGTGCACATTCACGCATCCGCTGCACACACAGGCTGAAAATATACCGTTAAATCCTTTACTCCGGTAACAGACGTGTTCAGTTCAGCAGTCCAAAAGAGTTAATCTAATCACCATGTATGTTAACAGCAATTTAAGACAAATATAGTGTAATTTAACGGAAGATTATGGGAGAGAAGGGACGGGATTTTGAATAGTGTTCTGAACCGCGACAGACGCTGTGGAGCTGTGTGACTGACTGTGTCCTCTCTGTACTAAAGACGTGACGCTGCTGCTCTACCACCTTGTCTCCTCCGCTACGTATTACTCGACCATGTCACTGAGAATCTGCAGTCGTGGCGCTGCGGGGATGATTTTTGGTGTTGCTGCTTACCACGAAAAAATGTATGTAGTGGAAACACTGTCCCTGTGACATAGCCCGACGGGCAGGGCTGGATTATATTTGGTAGCCCGACTGGAAGATAAGGTAGCCCGGGGCCGACCAGTTATGAAGACTTCCAATCATGTAACTTATGAGTTCTCTTGTAGTGGACGTTTGAAGCACTTTACTGCTTCGTTCGGTATCAAAACCCTGCCACTGGTTTGGTCGTCTCGGCTCTTAGGGAGAGCTGAGCTGAGGCTTCGAAGCAAACAAAGATTGACTCGACAGAGGTTAAATAGAAATAGCACTTTGAAATAATAATGTCCATAATCACAATAAAAATAACCCCTAAAAACACTAGGTAAGAATTATGAAATACCATTTAAAAATAATGACTTAAGTTTTAATATTTCTTGAATGATTTCACAAATTGCAAGTATCTATTTTACACAATTGATTCATATGATTATTAATTTCAATGTCATTTTTATTTATTATTATTATTGAACACTAGGTTTCCATAAAAGGCTTTAAATCTGAACTGTTTTCACCTGTAAACCATCACCAAGTGTTTAGCTACTTCCATATTGATACAAACCCTTGCTATGAGCTACCCATAATGGCTATAAGTAAGCAGCTACAGTAGTTTTCCATTCAGCAAACAGCAAATGTACCACTGAACATTTTCACAGTATAAAGTCTTTCTCTGGCAGCCAGACAGACATTAGGTCAAACTTTGGTTCAGTTTGAGTTCACTTTCATTATTCTCTGGTCTCTTTGGAGTGCATACAGTCAGTGAATCCTTATAATGGGCAGTGCCTTGCAACAACACAACTAGCAGCAGCTTAGCGCCATCATGTGGTTCCCTAGATTATTACAAAAGCCAAACCAGTCTGAACTGTAACCAGACATACAGGATGTACAGTCTGCAATGAGATCATGAAGGTTTTAAAAAGTAATTACAAAGTCACCATTAAATTGCATAGCACAGTTTTGCTCCTGGGGTAAGTATCATAGTTGTATTGCAGTTGTACAGTTTTCATATCATTATAAGTTGATATGTCTATTTGCATATATTCTTATAAGGATGGAGAGACACAAATGCTGCACCTGAGGATCAGAGGGGTGATAAGGCTACTACCATGCCTCTTCATGACAACTGAAACCTGACACGTGGCTGTTACCATGTCACTAAGGAAGAAAAGCAAAGGTTGATGGGAGTTTTAGAGGGTTGGCCACACATGCAGTTTGTTCAACGCTCCTTTAGCTCTGATACTAAATGCTATGTTTCTTCTTCATGCTCACTAGGAATCATTAGCCTCGGGACAGGGATCAAGACTTGGGAATCTAACGTTAGCCTTAAGTCTTGCTTAGTGTGTGGTGTTGAAGAGAACAAGTCAGCAAGTAAAAGCATCAGGTGTAAAATATTGATGGGGTGTCAGCTGTGATCCTGAACGCCTGGCAGGACTTCGCCCGTCTGATCGATGCATCACATGGTGAGGGGCTGCCAGGACCCCTGCCACAGGCTGAACCACGGACCTCAGCACTGGTGAGTGTACGCCTTCCTTATTTTTCTCTTACCATTTATAACAATAGTGACTAAACCTGTAACATCCTGGACACAGATGGGTTTCTACTGATGAGCCTTTACTGGAGCAGAGTAACACTACTGTACACACTAACCAGCGTACAGTTGGTTCAAGGTTCAACTAATAGACTGTATACGATAGTAATATATATCCAACTAATAGACTGTATACGATAGTAATATATATCCAAAGTGCCATATTTAACACTATAGAGATACTGTATATAAGGATTAAAGTGACAGTGGAGTGTGATGCTCTCTGCAGGCTGGAAACTAGGCCATGCAACCCTGCATGTCTCCAGTTACACTGCTGTCTCCTCTACAGCACATTTGAGATTGTTTCTCTTTCACAGAGGGTTGTCTTGTTACATGTTTCTGTTAAATGTAAACATGCATGAGGTCTGAATAAATGTAGGAAATGGCGGTTTGACATCCTCATTTGCCAAGGAGACCTTTAGCTGAGCAGAGTCTGTTCTAAGTTTACATGGGGCTCAATGAAGTCAGTTTTTAACTATTTAACGCTGCACAAATTCTTACAGAAATTTCTACGTTGTCTGACAAACTTCAGTTAATTCTGTATGAGTTTAAAATCCAAAAACAGATGTTGCTCTTGGCATTTTTAAAGAGCTGCATAAAACACTATCTTAATAAGCAGATGAATGTAAGGAGATACTGCATAACGGGTGTCAGAAATTTAATACCAAAGCTAAACATAAACTTGTGGCCAAGCAGCTACAGTCAGATTCTACCAGGGCTGCCCTACTAAAGAAACTACAGTGACAAAACAAAAGGAAAAAAACATGGCATGTGTTTCAAATGCTGTTCTTGCCTCCAGATTCACTGAGCCTCACTCCTCCTGGAGGAGGTGGTGGTGGTGAGCGGCCAGAGGGAGGTCAGGTCGACCAGCCACTGGTCCACGAGCTGTGGTTCATTGCAGTCATGGCAGGCATCGCCCTGCTGCTGCTGGCCATTGTGTTGGCTGTCACACTTCACATGGTAAGAGATGTTATTGGTTATTTTGTCTTTGTATATGCTGAGGGAGACAACCAGGAAAGGTGCAGATGTCACTCCGCCATCATGGGTCATTGTCAGTGAACAGTGTCGACAAATGTAAGAAATGTAGACAAATAATTGTAGACAAGTAATGAGTAGTCAGATTAAATCTGCTTACAAGGAAGACTTTGAGCTTGTACAGACGTGGACAAAATTGTCGGTACCCTTCCGTTAAAGAAAGAGAAATCACAATGGTCACTGAAATAACGTGAAAGTGACAAAAGTAGTAATAAATTAAAAATGACTGAAAATTAACAAATGAAAATCAGTCATTACTTCTGAATTGTGGTTCAACAGAAGCGTTTTAAAAAACCAAACCAATGAAACTGGCCTGGACAAAAATGATGGTACTCCTAGAAAGGATTGAAAATAATTTGACCATAGGGACACGTTAAACTAAAGTGTGTCCTCTGATTAGCATCACAGGTGTTTTAAAACTTGTAATCAGTCAGTCTGCCTATTTAGAGGGTGAATATAGTCACTGTGCTGTTTGGTACCATGGTGTGTACCACACAGAAAGCTAAGGAGAGAGTTGTCTCAGGAGATTAGAAAAAAAATTATAAACAAACATGTTAAGGGTCAAGGCTATAAACCATCTCAAAGCAGCTCAGTGTTCCTGTGACTACAGTTGCTCATATTATTCAGAAGTTTAAGTCCACGACACTGTAGCCAACCTCCCTGGATGTGGCCGCAAGAGGAAAATTGATGACAAATTGAAGAGACAGATAATGCGAATGGTAACCAAAGAGCCCAGAAGAACTTCCAAAGAGATTAGAGGTGAGGTCCAAGGTCAAGGTACATCAGTGTCAGATCGCACCATTGTCTCTGTCTGAGCCACAGTGGACTTCATGGTAGATGACCGAGGAGGACTCCACTGTTGAAAGCAACTCATAAAAAAGCAAGAATGTAATTTACCAAAATGCATATTGACCAGCGACAAAGCTTCTGGGAGAATGTCCTTTGGACAGATGAGACAAAACTGGGACTGTTTGGCAAATCACATCAGCTCTATGTTCACAGACGCACAAATGAAGCATACAAAGAAAAGAACACTGTACCTACTGTGAAACATGGAGGAGGCTCAGTTATGTTCTGGGGCTGCTTTGCTGTATCTGGCACAGGATGTCTTGAATCTGTGCAGGGTACAATGAAATCTCAAGACTATCAAGGCATTCTGGAGCGAAATGTGCTGCCCAGTGTGAGAAAGCTTGGTCTCAGTCGCAGGTCATGGGTCCTTCAACAGGATAATGACCCAAAACACACAGCTAAGAACACCCGAGAATGGACAAGAACAAAACATCGGGCTGATCACATCTTTCAGAAGGTTTCGAGCAGGAAGACAGAAGCTTAAAGTCACTGTGTAGAAGTTAAGGATACCTTCACTTTTGTCCAGGCCAGTTTCATTAGTGTTTTTTAAAATGCTTCTGTTGAACCACAATTCAAAAGTAATGACTGATTTTCATTTGTTAATTTTCAGTCATTTTTATTTCTTTTGTCAGTTTCATGTTATTTCAGTGACCATTGTGAGTTTCTCTTTCTTTAACGGAAGGGTACCGACAATTTTGTCCACATCTGTATGTAGCGGCTCTGTCTTCCCCTGAACTAGGCCCTGAGAAGAACCTCCTTCACCAGAGAGAGACCTCCACTGGTGGCCCTGCCCATGGAGAAGAGGAGCCCCATGGCTGTTTACCCCCCCAGCAACTCTGTTTTGGTGAGGTGGACGATTTACCCCAGTTCCTTAGTTACTGTGCAGATATTTTGACAACATAGCCAAATAAACATTCTTTGTAATAACAATAATCTGTTCCATTGAAGTGTTGAATTAGTAAATAATTATTAGCTTAGCTTGTTAATTACTGTGCCTCATTTTCATCATCCACTAGTTTTTATTTAGCACTGTGGAATATGAGCCATGGAGTTATGTTTGTGACTCGTTTATGAGCTCCAGAACACAGCACAAAAATCTGATCTTGCAGATAAATTACTATGCAAAGAATCATTTATCTTAATTTGAGCAAACCTTTATGAAACATTTATGTCCTGAGAATGTGGCATAATGCCATATACTGTATGTTAGTTGGTCACTAACACACAGAAATCTTTCTACGGTAGAGCTCAGACAAATGGACCTTGATAAATAGTAAATGATGTAACACACAGTCCATGTGTTCAGTGTTTACTTGTAGAATGCGTCATATTGAAGTCTTGCCACCTTTTTGTTTCCAGTTTGACAGTGTGCCTGCTACGATAGGCATCTCCAACAGTGTAACGCTCAAGAGCTTCACCATGAAGATGGAGGTAAAACTGAATGCTTTATCAGCGCACACACAAATGTTTTGCTGTATATAGTATGTTCATCACATGTTCCATCCTTTTCTCTTCCTAGCAGGAAGTGTTGGAACCTAAATGTGAGCCCATTGATGATGTCCTTCCACAGGATGAGCTGGGGATCCTCAGTGTAAACTCTCTGAGACGCAGCGTCAGCCAGGTGCTGGATGGGAAGTTCCTCACAATAGGCGACGAAGTGTGGGACCCAAGCATTTCAGGACATGACAGTGGGATGGTGAGAGACCTCAAAGACATGTCCAGACTACAACCACATACAGATTTTTATTTATTTTACAGTGGTGGAATATGTACTCAGTTTGTTTACTTAGGTAAAAACAGCGATACCAGTGTAAAAGTATAGCCCTACATTCAAAATGTTGGAGTAAAAAGTACAATAGTTTCCTCTAAAAGGTAGTTAAGTCAAAGTATGAACTAGTAGAAAATAAAAATACTCAAGTACCTTTTGGATTTTTTCAAATTATGAACTTGCTCCTCAGTAACACAAGCATTACAATTTTCACATCTGTGCACTAATATATCAATACATAGGTGTACAAAGTGGAGACCTGGACAATTATACAGATGTAGAAAGATCCATTAAACAAGCAACAACAGTTCAAAGAGACTAGAAATGTGGTGGTGAGTCCTATATCCTCTAACAACCTGCTCTTCTCCCTTTATAGTTTATGGATGATGAAGAATTTGTCGACACCATCAAAGGTTTCAGCACTGTGAGGAAGGAGCACACCATGTTCACTGACACCAACCTGTGACTTGATCAAGACACGCGACTCTGCCAAGACACTGGGCCTGGACTTAACATTATGACCACTTGAAAATCCACCTCGTTCTGACCAGGACGAATGTTGCAGTACCTATTTAAGAGTAGTCAAGATGTCAGATGGAAAGTTTCTCCTCTCCTAAAATCTACAAGGAAGGAAGAAAAGCTCAACACAACTACTGACAAGATTGCTGGAGTAACTGACGAGGAGAAGACAGTTTGACATTAAAATACAACTGGACAAGCAACATCCCAAGGTGGAAGGACCTGCATGTTTTGAGAATGGCTTGGAAGAATATGCTTGACATTAAACTCCTGATCCCTGAATACAGATGCAGAGCGATAATGCTTCCTTTTGTGCACGGACAGTTTGTGGGTACATAATGGATCTAATACATATTTCACACATTTTACAGTGAGCCAAACCCACATAAAGTATTCACATTAATTTATTTGAAATGAGATGCAATGCATTGTGGGCACAAAACATTTGTACCATTACAGTCAAGGTTACAAAATGAACATTTACATAATAAATTAATATTGTGCAGCAGCACATGAGACAGACATAAAACCCCCAACTAGGGCATTATACTGCATTAAAAACAAAAGGAGTTGGATTAATATACAAAAAATACTGGCAGTTACAAAGGCAGCCTCATTTTCATTGCTCATTTTGTTGTACATATATAAATATAAATCTCTTAATTGTAGCTGCTGATATGTCCACTACGAAGAGACCAGACAAGGGGCTCTGGCCTGAGATGACACCCCCTCCAGCAGCCACCATGCTGACTGCCATTTCATTATAAAACTAAAGGTAAATTTACACTTTTGGTCTTTTTCACTGAGGCTCTAGCTGGTGGACATTTTCTTAGAATGGCTGGTGTATCTCTGCCCGATTAGATTTATAACAGTTAAAATTGCTTAAGGTTTTCTGCATTTCACTGCAACATGCACTTGTCCCTTTAGTGATATTACATGTATGTAAACAAGAAAAATGATTCCTAATTAGAAAATCTGCAGCAGTAACATGCATGCAGCAGTTTTTCCAAGCTGACAAAAACACATAAATAGTTAAATATAGCACTACAAACCTTTTTCTCTTCCTTTACAAAGGAATAAATGGACCCCTCATATTTAAGCAACAACCCTTTGTGCAAATTTCCTCAACATCCACAATCTTTATCACATCCCTTTTCTTCCTCTTATGGCTACAAGCATGAAAGTCATGCTTCAAATGTTTAACCAGTAGAAGCTAATTCCTTTTGCAGGGGTGTCACCACCTCCTACACATCAACCACTGATTTTATTCTAAAGTCTGCTGCAAGATGTTATAACTGCATCTATGCTGTTGTCACTAGATTGCTACACCAAGCGGATGCTACTGAGAAGTCTTTACCTGTGCCACTGAATTGCTACTATACCTACTACTATTACTACTAAGCAGAATCTAGGACTTTTATTAAATAGTGTTCCATAAATCATAACAATCAACATTTGTAATGCTACCCTGATTTAGACAAAAGGCTACCATGATTATGTTCCATCTAGTCATCCTGATATTTAGATAAAAATTTAAGTGTGGAAATATAAAGGTGCAGAAGTCTAGCTGCTAAAATGTCAAACATAAAACGACTCAGGAATGTCAGTACCGTTCAGAACAAAAGTGAAAACCTCTAACACCGATATAACTGTACCTGAGAGCTAGACTAGACCTGATCGGAGTGTGTGGTGCACCTGCAGTGGCTGGTGATCAAGGCTAATGTACATTACATGGTTTTAAAGGGGAACTACAGTGATTTTGTACTGCACTACCATAAAGTTGTGGAATCTCGCATAAAAAATTGATGGGGCAGAAGCTGAAATCTTCTCTTTTAATCCCTGGTATGGGTCCTACAGTTCCCATAGTGCAACTTTTTGTTAAACTCTGGGTTTTTTTGTTCTATAAAGCTAGTATTATGAAAATTGATTCTATGACTGCTTTTAAATACCAAGACGTACATTTAGTGTTCAGAACCAGTGCAACACCTTGCTCATGTGAGTGTGATGTAATGAGGCCTCTTTTGGGGTAATTGCGTGATTTTTTTTTTTTTGGCCTGGTGAAGCCAGAGCTGTTGAGACAGAAGAGTAGCGACGCTTTAAATTTATTTGGTGGATGGAATTTGGTGATCTCGGCCTCCTCCTCTCTGCTATTTGTTCACGACATGTGTGCATGTGGTGCCCCGTTAATGGAGTCTGGCAAGCAGTTAGGGAATCACGACGTGTGCATATGGTGCCCCATTAATGGAGTCTGGCAAGCAGTTAGGGAAGATCTTTTTCTTTTCCTTCAATACTGCTAATAAGCAAATGTGCATGGTATAACTGTCAATTTTCATACCATGAAACCAGTATACTGCTGCACTGCACCCAACGTTTGGAACTATTTGAACTTCCCATGATCCGCCATTACTGTAAAAAACTGTCAGAGTCAATGGAGATGTCGCCACTTTCCTTCTGAATCCATTCTGAAGTGAGGCATCAAAACATTGTGCCACGATACTTCTGCATCGATAGTGTCGAGCCTACCATCACTAGTTTGCATGTGGACAAAAGAAGATGTACAACTGTTGTACAGGCTGAGCAGTACTGCTTACAAACTCATGCCAATGTGTAAAATCTGTGGAGTACCCCTCTAAAGTTGTTTTAACTCATGACTGATAAGGTAAATAGATGGAACAAGCTGCAGGCCAATAAATCTCCATGCTGTTAATGGGCATGTTTTTTGCACCACAACCTAATATTTCTAAGCTTCATCAAACACTGACAGACAAAAGTACAACCACCAAACAGTTAAAGGGTTAATGGAGAAAACCTCCAACTGAAAAGTAGACGCTTAATTCCACAAATATCAAAGCTTACAGAATCCTATTTACACAGAATCTGTCTGACATGACCAGTTTGGCCAACATCTACTAATGCAAAAATGTAGTGCATGAGGTAACAGCAGACTAAAGGGATGACGGCTCCTGGGGAAGTGATAAAGTTGCTGGGGATGGGGTCACTACTTGAGGGCTCAGAGGTCAATGGGCAGCATTTACAGCAATGTGGTCACAAAAGTGGCTTCTGGCAACTCCCTAATCTCACTAAAACAATTCCTTATCCAAAAATACACTTTACATATTTGTTCACCAAGCTATTTAAGTAATTTCACTTGTCCCTTTTTCAAAAAGTAAAAAGGTCCTAAAACTGCAATTTCACTTACTTGTATACAAAATATTTCATTCTAACATTCAACTAACAGTTAATATTGAGCATAAACCTAAAACCAACATGCAAAGACAAGTGGGCCTACGATTTGAATTTTAAAAGTTAAAGGGTTGCTCTCTGATCCTTACTATGCAGAATTTTCAAACTCAAGACACTGTATGCAGTAGATCAACCAATGACATTAAAGCAAAGGTTTCCTCACAGGAAAAACAGGGTTTATGCTTGATATCATGACTCGCCTGACACTTTGAGATCCAGAAACTCTGCCAGGATTTGTTTTCCGACATCAAGCATGAACTCCGCAGATGCAACTGCACTCGGTTTACAAAACAGATTGGACTGCATTTCCCTCACACACATCTGCAGATGAATCCCACAGAATAAATAAAAGCCACCTTGTTATTTCCCTGACCCTTCACTATTCAGGAGCCACTGGCTAATCAGGAAGTGAGGTGTTCTGACTAATACTGACTACTGGCATCCAGAGACGAGTTATCATGCGACCAGGTTGTACAGGGTTATAGCACTCGAGCAATAAAATGTTTACATTACAACTGAAAAGAACTATAAACACTAAGGAGTTCTATCTAAAGTTAAAATCTCAGGAACAACAACAGTGTGGCAGAGTTAAAACAGCCACAAAGAAAGTCTATGATATGTAAAATGGGGATTAAGGTTTGGATTTTTGTCCATTATGTGGATTCTTCCAAATTACCAGAACTCCCTTCTGATGGTCCAGTGGAAGGTCCTGGAACCAACGCTTGCCTTCAGCTTTACGTCGGACAAAGAACTGCGGAGACAGAACAGCACAACTGATTATCAATACTACTATTTGAGAGCTGAGAAATGATGAAAGAGCGACTACAACAGAGAGAAATGTGGGGTGAGAGACGGGGAAACGGTAGCTACAGGTGAGAAGCAAACACATGAACAGCTGCGACTACAAGCTTGCAGTAAAGAAGAGTGTGTTCATGTTTCGGTGTAGTGCAGCCACAAGCACTGCACAACACAACAGGCGCTACAGCATAGAGGAAGTGAGGGAGGGTTGCTGCTTTAGGGGAAGACAGTGATGCTACGCAGAGAGACGGAGAAAGAGACAAGAAGGTGAAGAATCTCTGTTAATGTGCGAGTGCCTCACAAACCTCACGTTCCACTGCTCTCACACCAGAGCTACCCAAAGGACAGTGCAGCACAGACGAGAGACAAGGAAGGTACAGGTCAACAGTGAAGGGTGGAAAGAAAAACATTTTCTCTATCCCGTTAATTAATCTTGTTTCGAGTGCTTCAATCTTCTACTTCCTGCAAAAGGGGGCAGGTGGAATCGACACAATGAGAAGTGACCTGATATGCACGCACACAGACACCCATCCCTTTGGAACACTGTTAGAACAGACCATTTCCATCCCTTTGAGGTATTTTACATTACTGCAACAAACCAACTCAATATGGCTGACGTTGCTCAGCTTCTCATCCTGCTCACTGAAGCCAAACTAACAAAAAGCAATAAGTGATCTGAGAAAGGCTGAGTGTTTTACCTTTGAGAATGTAGTCTGTTAGCAGGGCAGGTACCTTCTCGCTGTCATCCCTCATGGCATGGAGGACTAGCAGAGAGAGAGAGAGAGAGAGACATTACAGTCTGAACACGCTCTGAGGCAAAACAAAGACATAAAATAGAAATACTCAGAAAGTCGACAAGCTGGGGGCAAAAACATCATGTGTTCCTATGTGTTCCACTCACTTTTTGTGAGGATCTGGAGGTCCTCTACTGATAGGGAGCCAGGTTTCTTCTCATAAGGGATCACTGTGGTCAGGTACTGGAAAGAAAATATCATGTCAAATACCTGTAAAAGAAAGCAATACAAAAAAAAAAAAACCCCGACACAGTCTTGTCACCTACTAGTTTGTATGTCAATGTCTTAAAGGTCACAATATAATAAGTGAGAGGTCTGTATGCCATTGCAGGTCGGTATCAATCTTTCAGAGGTTTAGTAGAGCAAATGTTTAGAGTTGTGAAATAAGGAAAGCAGCAATTATACAACAGTATCATCTTGGCTTAAAACAAAGGATCAATATACACAATTATGACAGTAAATCCTTCAAAATTATAACAGGTGAAGGACAAAAATCAAGTTTTTCAAAGATGAGGAAAAAAGAAAAAGAGAAAAAAAATTCAGAATTGAAGCATAAAAGAGTAGAGAAAGATAAGGATGACCGGGCAGAGGTGCCGGCTGTAGAAAATGAGACAGACAATGGGAGGGGGAAAAAGAGCAGGGGGCACCTGTTTGTCCCCTCCTGTGCTGCCAAATGTTTGACGGAGGCCATTTTGAATGACAGTGGAGAGTCCCTCCAGAGTGAGGAGCTACAAGGAGGAAGGAAGAGGAAAAAAGAGTAGAGAAAGATAAGGAGGTTTCTATATTAAGAGAAAGAATGAAAAGGCTTTGCACTCAGCCGTGGTGCTAGTATGACATCAGCGCTCTCATGTGAACTGTCAGTCAGGTCATGCATCGCCCACATCTATAATTTAAAGATGTGTGTGGCTGTGTATACGTATCCCACTAGTCATCACTTGTAATCATGCAAACAGGGCATGTGTGTTGCTGTGTATGCCTCCTAGACAGTGCCACCACATGACTCACCGTGCCCGGTATGTGCGTGCCGGCTGTCCTCTGGCTGTTGGGGCCGCTTGTAGTCGTACTTCTGATCTTCTTCTTCTTGCGGAGTAGCTCGCGGTGTTCCTTCTGTCTATTCTGCACATCGATCAGCAGTGAGATGAAGCTGTTCTTCACCTGTTTTTTTAAACAAAAATTTTAATTATGCTGGTTTTTCACATCACACTACACTTTACTTTTTTTTTGCATTACTTAATTTATATTACATGTATTACATGTAATGTTCCTGGGGAAACAGTATAAAAATACATGGTGACAGTACTGTGACACTGAAGCAAATGACAGTGAAAAAAAAAAAAAAAAAAAAAGAGTGTCATCTGTGCTTACTACACAAGAAATGGTTGTTCTCTCTTCAACATTACAATAAAACTGACTGAATGTGGCTTTAAAGCCGGTTGAATGCATTTAATAATATGGTTGCATTTTGGACTGGTTTGCAGCTTTTCTCAAACTCAGCAGACATAGAAACAGTCTGTTTTTGTGGTAATGCTGAAGCCATATACTTAAAAAGATACAAATCATAGTACCTCCTTTTCATAGTCCAGTTCATCTCGCAGGGCCAGAGCCTGGATCAGCTCTTCACTGTAGCGGCGAATGGCCAACTCCACTTCCTCGAGAGTCTCGGTCAGCTCTGACACAGAAAGCTGGCGCAAACCTGGAGACGATGTGCAGATATATTAGGAAGGAGGAGTGTGGTGTATAGCGTTTATGTGTAGTAGTTGTATGCATGGGTTTGTGTGGAAACCTAGCAGAGGTGATGGTTGGTGAAGACTGACAGTCTAGCTATATTTTAGTACTCTACCTCTGAACAATGTTATATTGAATCTTAATGAATAAAATGATTTCCAATACTATACAGTAATTACCACTGCCTGTACAGTACATAAATATGGACAATGCGTTAACACTTTCATTTACTATGCAAAAGTGAAGCCAAAATATCGTGACTATCGCAGCTGCCATCTTGGCATTTTGCGACCAGACTCTGTGCAGCAGCAACAAGACGTTTAGTGACATCATCAGGCTGCTAATCAAAGCTCACTCACTCATCCAAAATATACAGATTTTTATACCATCAAATAACTTATTATCAACAAACTTATCAGAAACATGACCATTTACACACACATCAGCATGATAATATCTACCAAAAACCACAGACGAGACCTCTGAGAACAACTTATTTGATTTGTTCGTTGAGTTTTTAATTTGGCTCATGTCTCGTATGTTAAATGCACTAGGCACACCAGATTACAATATGCAAATATCTGAAACAAGATCTGTAACGTTAAAGCTACCTGGTGCAGCCAGTCAGTCTACACCACTCTGGCATTAGAAAAATGTGTTCATACCAAATATATGCTGCTGATTATATAACATGTGACAACACAAGTACAGTCTGTGTGCATCTGTTACACATTACATAAGAATGGTATCGCATGTGTGCACGTGTGGAGTTGATTCTTCATGCATAAGAATGTCTTACTTCATTAGGTGACTTAAGTGGCAGTGTGTAGGCGCACACACAAGGGGACGAACTCAACAATGTTAGAAGCTTTATGTTATTCCTCATAAATGTACACAACCATAGCTGTACTCACGGTCCTCATAGCTGGTGTTGGAGCCAGAGTGTTTCATAGTGTGGAAGTCCTGAGAGAGCATGGACAGATCTGACTGGGAGGGGCTCTCATCGTCCTCTGGGTCAGGAGACTCCTGCATCATCTCCTCTATCTCCTCTATCACCTAGACAACACCACGGAAACCAGACACACGCATAAACATGTTTTTTCATTTCTGGCTGGTATTGCAGTTTGAAACTTCAAATATTTAGCTTGACACTGTGACTTCCTGTGGAAGTAACAAGCGGTGCTTCATTTTTAATTACTGTAACAAGAAACAAGATTGACAGTTTATGGAATTCAAAAAGCTCTCTGCACCCAAAAACCCTGAACTACTGTGGGGAGCTTCATTGTCCTCTTTTCTACATTAACAGCTCTAACTGCATGTGCAGGTGTGTGAAGCATTGTGGAGTAAGTGGAATTACCACTGTATTTATTTAATCAAAATGAGTTGGTTTCCAAAAGACACTGCAAGTACCAAAACAATCACAAGTAGATGGATATAAAACTGCAGAATTTGTGTACGTGTGTATGTGAATGTGCATTATTACTTGTTCAGCTGTGAAGAGTGGCTCATCGTTGATACAGGAGACTATGATTGAGTGCATATCCATCTGCTCCCTTAGCTCCTCATCGTCTGACAGATCGAGAGACTGGTTATCCAACTTCTGTCCAGGAGGACAAGAGGGGAAGGCAGAGATTGAGAGAGAGAGAGAGAGAGAAAGAACTTGGATGAGACAACAAACAAGTGGTCAAGATTTCCAGACCATGTGACATTACATCCCAGCCTGTGTGGGTGTGTACCTCATTCTCAGTGAGGTTGAGGGTGGGTAGGTGTAGGGAGCGAGTGTGTGATGTCTTCCAGTCCACAGGCATCACGTTGCCATAGTTATCTGTCAGAGCGTTCCACACCCTGAAGAAAGCACAATTATAATAAACAAAAAGTTGTGAGTAAAGGAGAGTAGATACTTTAAGGGAAGAGCTTTAGCTTACTATGGCTAAGACAAACCACTTCCTTCTATTTTTCTGTGACAGAGCATTACTCTGCAGTGTTATGTCCTCTTCTCTCACCACCACAATATTTCACAATATCCACATTCAGACTACATGTGAAGTGACAAACCCATTTCCCTCCAACTGACTCAGATCTCATCTTTTCACATAGGGTGCAATCTCCACAGGGGACAAGGTCTCTGCAAACCATCCACCTTGTGTGACTGGACAAAACACAAACACTCACGGGTGCTAATTCTGCATCGGCGAGCGCACTGTTTGAGTCAATGTTGTGAATCAATCCCATGTTAAATTTTAATATCACTACCTATAGCATTCCATTTTGTAGGACATATTCTTTACTGATGATTGGGTCTTTAAGTGCTCACAATAATAGGAAGTTATGAATTTCAACCAGATTATGTAAATAGGCCTATTCTTTCTCCTTACGGAGTGGCGGAGCGTCGTTCTGGTAGGACTACACCTATGTGCATAACTGATCTAGCTCATATGAAATTATATTCTGTAAACTCAATTCAGGACCTATGTGTTCTTTTTTTACGTTTGCTGGCAATGTTGGCTAATTTATAAACAGTATCATCATTATACCAACAGCCTGCTGAATGTTTACAATGCTGTTCAACATGCAAGTTGGCAGAAAACAGAGCACAGTCAAGCAGATGGTGGCTGATAGTCTGATAAAAACAAGTTTATTGTTCAACTGTGAAATCCTGTCTCTCTACCGTCTTTCTGAAAACCTACCAGTTTCAAGAGTTCTTGTAAACGTGTAATTATGTACATTTGGTTTATAAGAAATAAGCAAACATCAGATGCATGTCAGGCTTTACATCCACCATTAGTCTACAAGTTTTGTTCGTTTAAATATGATTCAGGATTGGCTGGAGACTTTATTAAAGCTTAAGTGCAATTTTATAATTGCAGTTCTATGTGAAACTGCCCCTTCATATGGCCTTGCCTGGAAACAGAACGACTGCAGGCATTTTTTTTTAACAGACTATGACAGAAAATTAAGTGCACGTGCAAGTCACTGTGTTTTTATTCCTGGCCCTGAATGCTGCAAGCAAAGTGAGGATGGGTGCTGGGAACCCATGTGTCAGAGCGGCTGGGCATCCCCCCCACCTCCCAGACACACACACACACACACACACAAATGTTTATGTAACTTGCCTATTTCTGCCTGAAGTGCTCATGCACAGCTTGGGGCATGGGGGGTTGTTACCTTGTTCTAAATAGGGCAAAGGCTGGCAGAAATATTTTTTGGGTCTTAAGAAAAGACACCATCTCAGGCACGTGAGTGCATGCCAAAATACACCATCAGCATCAGTTTCACTAAGAGAATTTGCATTTAAAAACAAGCCTAGTCCAGATATCAAAGACCACATTTTTTTGTCTCTACTTCAACTCCATGACTGTTTGAGTTACTTGCCCAAATACATTTATGTCAATGTTTTATCTTGCACACACATAATCCACATGCACAACTTGGCTTTAACACAAACACATCTTGCTTTCTCCATTTTGGCTCTCACCAAAATACACACACACATTTCCTCCTTGTCATCCCCGCTGCTCGTCTCAGCCATGGTCTTACTTGTTAAGCGCCTAGGCACGTCCTACCAAAGTGCAGCCATTCAGAAAAGACTCTCACTGAGCCTAGTGCTTCTCTTTGGACTTAACCAGGCTGCTGTCAAATTATTCCACTCCCTCCTTCCTGTGTTTTTTTTGCCTATAACAACCATTGCTGCTCTTTCCCCTGACTGACCAGACTCCCTGCACTCCCCTACATATTTAAAGAGACTATTAATTGAGCAAGACATTAATACTGGGAAAATGACAATCTTCAGGTTTTTTTGCCAAGTCTTTTTCTGCCGATTCTCTACTATCCACTGTGTGTGGATGGAGAAGCGACTCAGAGTCCAAGTCAGCCTATTAAGTGCTAGTAGAAGGTAGAACTGTGGGCGTCATCTTACTGGCATCTGTGTATTTGTATATAAATCTGCTGCTTATAGAGAAGGCTATTCAACAACAGTTGTCCAGAAATATATTAGAAAACAAAAAGGCAGGATGTATATTTATTGATTTTTTTAAAGCACTTGATAGTGTTCAGCACAAGAAATTGTATTTTACACATATTAAGAAAGTTATTGATAGTAAAGCTTTTAGTGTTTTGAAGTCCATGCATTCTGAGCTCACATCATGTATGAAAGGAACTGATGGCATAAATAATTTGTTGATAAAGTCATTTGTCAAACAAAAATGCCAAACACATATTAGTTCCAGAATCTAATTTTGCATTACAACATTTCTGACTTGGTTCCCCTTTTTTTTAAGAACAGGATAAGTTGTCCATCTGGGTAAAGATATACATTATTAAATCTAACAGTGTCACAGTGTTGTATGGTTGAGAAGGAAGAGGGCAGAGGGAGGGTGATTCTTGCAGATCTGTGGTTACACTGACAAAGTATAAAATTGGTCGTTACATTTGTGTGGCGACTGCTGAGGACCTAACCCTAAGATCTGTTAAGATGTGGACAGATGCTCCTAGTATAACCTTTAATAAAACAATGACATGGTGTCTAGCAAGCACCTAAAGGTCAAGTCCAAAATGCGTAACATATGGGTCAATTGCTGTTCACTAACTTTGAATATACACTTTAGGGATCAGTGATTTAATAACTACCATCTACTGTTAACGTGGCATCTCACACACACAAGCAACATCACTAAGCTAAACTCGTACTTCGTGCATCCAAAGACAAGACTATCAAAATATGTTTATATATTCGATTTGTCAGTTGTTTGTTTAGTTCTGACAACATAAATTCAAACATCTACGTTAGCCAGATAATGAAAATGGTGAAATAATACGGCAGAAGGTGTTCTCCTTTAGCAAACATGCACTGGTGAGCTAAAGTTTGAGCAACACTGATTGAAGCCAAGCTAGGACACTGGGTAAATCAATAGGTAACATCAACGTTAGGTTAGCCTGGGGAGGCCAACGTGGCTAGCTAGCAGAGACATTAATAAAAGTTGGCGTAAATAAAACCCAAATTAGTTCACACTCACTCGTCGTCTTTCAAGTAATTATCCTCAGTGATAGGTTTAATGGGAGCTATGTTTTCTGTCGTGGTGTTGTAGTTTCGGAAACACACTGTCAGCTTCTCGTCGAAGTCATGGACGAGGTCCTCCATCGATTTGAAGCTGCAGATCTCCCCGGACAAGCTGTTGTCCAGGTCTGAAAAATCGTCTAGGCCCGATGACGAATCGCCCACATTTGTGTTTAGCTGGTCCAACTGCTCGGCCGAATCCGAGGAGGGTCTGAATTCGTTAAAGTCCTGCCAGTCCTCATCGAAATGAGCTAACGGCGCCGCCATGACTTCCGTAGAAACTAGGCCGACAGCCAGTTAGAACTGCCGGTGCTGCTCTGCTGTCTGCTTCGAGACACGGGAAGAGACAGCAAGGCAGCTGAAGAGAGCGAGGGCGCTGAGGGGGCGGGCTCACGTGATGTCACCATAGTCGCCCCTCCCCCTTCAGATGGAGCAAAACACACCTAGGTCCAGGGATCAACGCTATGGAAGTATATCCCCACTAAAATGTTTGAGGGCGTACCATCCACATTTTCAGTAGTACTCAGTTTGGAGCTCAACAGTTGAAAGAATGCAGGCACATATTTGCAAGAATCAGATATGAGTGTGTGTGCTATGCAAAAGCAAAGCCAAAATATTGTGAATACAGTGGCTGCCATTTTGGCATTTTGCTACCAGATTCTGCACAGTAGTTGAGTGGTATCAGACCGCAAATTAAAGTACTCAAATCATCTGAAATACACCCCATTGGAATATCATCAAATAACTTATTAAAATGAACTTAGCAGAACAATGGCCACCTGTACATACATCAGTTTGATAATATCTACTGAATAAGACAGAAATCACATCTGGGAACAATTTATTAGATTTATACTTTGAGGTTTTTAGTTTAGTTCAAGGCCCATCCATTAACACGTAGGGGGCAGAATTTATGACCTGTACTGCAACCAGCCACCAGGGGGTGGTGGACTCGCAGTGGCTTCACTTCTAGGAGGTGTCAGGCTTTTAATTTTACAGTCAATGGTCTGCACTCTCAGATTTCTCCCCTGGGTTTTGTATGAAAGTCTGTCTGTGCCAGAATGTTTGAAAGTGCACAAAAGAAGCTGTGAGAGCTCTTGAGTCTGCAAATTAGAGTTTGAGAGTACACAGGTATTTCTAAGAGCAGAATTAGAGTTGCCTGTGCAATCTCAGATTTGTAATTGCTCTCAAATCTGATACCTACTTCCTAAATGGAAAGTTTTGTATAGAAATGTATGACCAATAAAATTGTAACTTTAATTTTATTGTTCTTACTATTCATGATTTTGGTACAGCCTCTTGTAAGATGTTCTTGCCCCAGATATTATGTCTAAGACATTTAGAAATAAATGACTAAATACAAAGTATAATTTTGAAAGAAATTCAACTGATCATTTTCCACCAGAGACCTATTAAAACATGCGGCCAAAAACAGTGGCTCAGGGCTATTCAGGGTGTTTAAGGGTGGGAGAAATGGGTTTTCAGCATATCTGATGGGTGTCTCAAACTTGGGGCACCACAGTCTCCTGCCCCATCAAACTTCCATGGGCCAGTTTTTTCAAAACCCTGAATGCTTTATTGAAAATATGCATACATAACACTTTTCCTACACAACAATACAAAACAGTACAATCACTTTGTAAATAACACATTGAACGCAAACCCACACATCACCCCTCCCCCCCAGCCCAAGGAACTTAGAGATGCTACAGTGAGCCCTTCATATTCCCCACCCAGCCCCTACCCACCACCACCACCACCTCCGAGAGAGAAATAAGACATTGAAATCAGAAATCCCATGATAAATTCAGACAAAAGAGCAGACACCAGGTTGCATACAGACATAGAATTTGCCACCAGCAGGTTCTTAGTGTAAATGATTTGCCTCAAGTCTTCTGAAATGTTGTTGGGTGTGGAAGAGGAGTCCATTCTGTGGTCTAGGAGATGAGAAACAGGTTTCTAGAGTATGAATACAGAACCTACAGAAAACACCACTGTGTCTCCAGAGATTTGGCTTTCATATGGGTCAGAGAAGTGGCAACTGCCAGTCAACAATGGCACACCAAAAGAGAGATTTTGGTCAGTTACACAGACATGCCACAAAAGTAGATTTTCACATGAAGAAAACTTTTTAAAGGCGAGGGGTGGATATAGTTCAAACCTGATTTGAGTGTAGGTAACACGCTTCCCATAGATTCTTCCCACTCCTATTGGCATGGGTGTTACTGTGCATATTTATATATAATAGTAGTGGTAGATAAAATACAACTAAATACAAAGGGAAAAAAATATATTTAAAAAGTTATGAAGAATTATAAGGATTACAAAAAAAGAGGACTCCAAATGTCTGGTTATATTTTAATATGATCATACAGGGATAGAGATCAACCAAAAATGATACAATGTGAACAAAAACGTAAAGTAACAAAAACTTCAATAAAAACAGACAGAAAAGCACTGTTTTTTTTTTAAACATTTGTACTGTATATCAGTCTGTAGCAAATAGTCATTACATACCCTGAAAACAGGAGGAAGAAAGCTTTGAATGGTGCACTGACCATGAATAACTTGGCTAGAGAGCAAAGGGGGTGTTAATGCTCAATTCTCTCTAGGCTGCAAAACTGATACCCTCGAGATGAGGCTGCTATGCTCTGTATGCACAAGGTTGTGTTTTAGGTCTATAATCAGTCACTGCTCTTGAGTGCATAGAGGCATAGTGAGGGCTCAACTCCTGTTAGTTAGAAGCCTTTGCCAATGCAATGCAATGCTTTAAGCCAAAAGAACAAGTGTGACGACCATGAGGCTTTGATAACCTTATGGATTTATGCCATCGCAGTAGGTGCAAGAGAGCTGTCTGTTTTAGGACTGCAACAACCCTCCCTAACACTGTGGGCTCAGACCGTGGTTCTGGCCGTGCTAACTACTCATCCAGTAATAACAATCATTCATTAACTTCTCATATGAAATAACCCTTTGCTAGTAATGTATCGCTTTACAGCTTTTTGAAACATGCCTCATTTAAATTGCCTTATTTAAAGTTCCTTTTCTTTTCCCCACAAAGATGATCTGAAATCAGTAACTCAGTGTTGTTTGAATACTACCGGGTAAGGGGAAAAAAAAAAAAAAAAAAAAAAAAAAAAAACTCAAGAAGAAAAA